TCATAGTTGCTTGCACAGTATTTGTTTTGGCTCTGACATTTTTTTCTTGATTCCCTATTTGCAATTGTATTACCATATATTATCCCATTGGCAATGAGCACTGAGCATGTTCTCATGTAAAGAAATGTAGTAGCGAAGAAGATCTCTTCTACTAAATCCAGTCTGCTACATGTTTAAGGTTTTTGTGTGTCAACTAAACAAGTTTCAGTGGACGAAGAGGTAAAGAAAAGTTTATGGCGTTGGATAGGACACATGTTGAGAAAACCTAAGAACAATATAACTAGAATATCTTTGCACTGGAACCCACAGGGGCAAAGAAATAAAGGCAGATCAAAACACACGTGGAGAACGAGCTAGAGAGTGAAGTTAAAAAGATGGGGAGGACATGGGAAGAGCTGCATGCAATAGTGAAGGATAGCACAATTTAGCCAGTTGGTTAAGGGCCAATGTTCCATTGGGGGTTAGAAAGGCAAAAGAAGAAGTAATAGCCTTAGTTGTTATAGTACATATAACAGACTAATTTCCCATAAGAAATAAAGGGCAAGTAAATATCTGTTCCCATGGAAAGAAGCCTAGTGTTATAATACTTTTACAGAGTTGTATAAAATAATTTCTGTACTGACTAATGCTAAAATGCATAAAATAAAAAAAAGCAGGTGAAAAGTTAACCTCGCTTACCTTCCTGAAAAGAATCAAGTGCCTACAAGGATCATACTGAGCAGAGGGTAGGAGGAGCAGATGTTATTGTCTGAAATAAGGGTCCCTTTCAAATAAATCTTCAGGAATCTTAAATTCTGGTGGTTTGTTTTCTCTTTTATTTGTTCGCATCTCTTTTTGCTACCCGAACCAGGTTACAGCCCATCAGGATTAACTTTTACTTAAAATGTGGGTAAAGAACTTTGCTTCTGCCTTCTGCTTAGGAATTTTCGGATATATTAAACTGTCTGGTTATTCCAATGCTAATATGGCTCGTTTGGGTTTTTGTAAAGTCATTGACATCCTTCCATATGGTGAATATTTCCTTGATTAACGAGAGAGGTAAATAAGGGTACTGCAAAATGTCATGACTCATTTTGACTCATACAAGTTCTAGCAGGTGGGACGTATTTGAAATAAAGTTTGTATACCAAGCAGAAGTTTGTGCACCTAAACAGGATGTATACCTAGTTGAATATATACCAAGGTGAACATATACCAAGGTGAATATATACCAAGGTGTACATATACAAAGGTGAACATATACCAAGGTGAACATATACCAAGGTGAACATATACCAAGGTGAACATATACACAGGTGAACATATACCAAGGTGAACTTATACCAAGGTGAACATATACCAAAGTGAACATATACCAAGGTGAATATATACCAAGGTACCACTGTATATCGGTGTGTGTAGTTCAGTAAAGGTCCCTTTACATGCAAGCATCGGACATGTGAGGCTAAACTCACTAGACTAGGTGGCCCTCAATGAGTGATGTGGTCAACACTACTGTTGTGTGCTAAATGATTTACCACTAGTCAGCACACTACTAGGTGTCTAGAAGGTACCCTTCCGCCTCCTCTCTTAGAAACAGAACTCGAAGACAATGACACTGTCATACATTTCATTCAACAGGATACATGACACAAATGCAGAGACGTAGTTATTGATCACAGTTGACATTCGCACATAATTCATTTGTCCTCAATTGCTCTCTCTCTTTCAATTTGTAGCGAGTTCTCCTTGACCACTACAGCTCCAAGGACTACATCGTCCCACACTCTGGAGACGCCGTACAGCTGAACAGGACAAAGTCTCCCATTCACTGGACCTTGATATTATTTCAGCATATAACACGGCTGACTGGAGACGGACTTCCCTTGCTGTACTCCGAAAACCCACAGCTGTCGTCAGCTTGCCGAAGGGCTCCGATGACTGAAAGGTCTTCTACCATAAGTCCCCTCTAGCACACAGCTCTCGTCGGCACCACTCCCCCCTGTTCTGGTTCACTAGTGGTCCTCCTATGTCTCACTATGTCGCCACCCAGAACAGGTACTACTGGAGCCTTCCGTCCTCCTGGACTTACTTCGCCAGCGGGACCATACCTTCGACCAGTACCGCAACCTCAACACTTATTCAGACCTAAATGCCTGATAGTCGTATGGTATTCTTGTCTGTTAGACTCGAGAGAGATATCACGGACCCTGACTTGGTCTCTGACTCTCACTTTCTCTCTCTCTTCTCTCTCGACTGCCTCTGATTGACTACTCAGCCCTCTAATTTATCCCCCTCAAATCCATGTAGGTGGATGATGATTACACGAGAGGCACGCTTGTATGGGTGTTCTTGTGACTCCTGATCCCGTGGGTGTTCTTGGAACTCACACTCATGTGGGCGTTCTCGTGGATCACACTTATGTGGGTGGCTGATGTTACCTGAGAATCACGCTGTCACTTAATACACACTTTCTCTGTTTATCTCGCTAGCCATGCTTTCAGCCCCCACACAGTAACCCACACGTCCACTTTCTCGTGGCGCTATATAATTACTCACATACCACTGTCCCTTCACACAATATCACACTTTACCCAAATCAGTGCGCAACAACTACACCAGTGGCTTCTCCTTTAATTAATCCTTTAACTAGTCAAGATTCACAGCTATATGTTAAAACTGGCTCCACATAGCATGCATAAATTCTTTTTATAATCATCACTGACCTCCTTTTCTGTTTTTCATCTCTGTCCTATATTTTCAATCGAATACAATCCATGTGCCTAGATACTTAAATTTATGTACTTGTCTCAAAATAATGCCCTTTATTTTGTATTATACATTTAGTTACAATTCTTTTCTTTGAAATTACTATTACTTCAGTCTTCTCATTGTTCAAACTGAGGTCCATTCTATCACTTTCTACCACCACCACTTACTATCAATTACTTATGTAGTCTTCTCATTGTTCAAACTTCTTATTTATTACAGAAGTGCTAAAAACAATCTGTTTTTAATGCTGAAAATAATTGTCTACTTCTTCCAACTTAGTTCTTATAGCCGCTTTTGTTCCATATATTTCTATCAATCAGATGGTGTCATCAGCATGACGTAAGTTGTTTATGTATATGTCATTTCCACAGCATGACGTAAGTTGTTTATGTTATGACCACCAACCACAATTCCTGGCATTTCCATGACAAACTCAATATATATTCACTGCGTAACGAAAACAGATCAACTGATAGTACACATCCTCGTTGTACATTCCTCTTATGCTCTGAAATATTCCCAAATGATTGTTAGTTCTTATAGCTGCTGTTTGGTTCCAGTATGTGTTTTTTATTATTTGTAGATCTTTTTCATAGTAATTTGATTATTTCCTTATGTTTCGTACAGTCAAATGCTTTCATATAGTCAATGAAGCATAAGCACAGATGGATTTTTACTTATGTAGCTCTTTACTATGGTCCTGAGGATGTTTATGGCACTTTTTGCACCTTTTCATTACAAACACTAATTTCTGGTTTAATTTTTTTTTTTAAATTCTTCTAGAGAAAAGTCCCTTTTATCTTTGTCACATGACTCCTAAGACTTATTTATTACAGAAGTGCTAAAACAATCTGTTTTAAATGCTGAAAATAATTGTCTCTATTCTCCTAGTGTGTGTATCTATATATTTTAACAAAGCTAATTTACGACCGTTATTCGGAGGATAGCCCTATAGTCTATACACTTTACATTTACAAATTAATATCTCGGCTGAAAACTTTCGTAGAGACTTGAATAAGATGCTGTTGGATTTCATTTTCCAAGTGGATAGTTGCATTTGTTTAAATATAAGGTAGGAACTTTGACTAAAGAATAAATATTATTTAATAATATAATTCACATGAAAACAATAAATATAAATTAAATGTAAAAGTAAAAGATATAAAGCTGACCTGTGAATTTATAGGGCCTGCCCATGTACCCTGTACTCTGCAATTCAACTGCCCATTTGCAGAATAAATATGTCGAGGCTGTTTGATCCAAATTGACGAATCATCCATTTTTTCTAAAATAATCGCACGTAACTGAAAGAGCAAAGCAGTTCTCACTTTACTTCTTATTTTGGCCAGGATGTTCGTGTTTCCAGGACACTGATTTGTTTACATCCGTCTCTGTACAGCAACGGTGACATTTCTAGTTTTTCTATTAACAAGATTTAGCAAGCGCAAACGGCAAACGCCCTTATTTCCATCTACGAAATAGTTAATGGAAAAAAGTTAATTTCTCCTTCAACTCTTAACTTTAAATTGTTAACCCGTTGCTAAATGGCTTTTAGATCCTTCTCACGTCGATTATATATATAGTGATATAATTTTTAATAGCGAGAAAGCATGCGATTGAAACAGATATAACCTCAGCATGTCAGGAAAAAGGAGAAGAGAATGGACATAGACACTGACCCATCAGCACCCAACTATGCTCCTGCTGTTGACTGGAATAGTTACGACTGTGTGGGCGGAGACTTTGATGCAGAGAAGCTCCACTATCACAACCTTGTATCAGACATGGGGCTCAAGTCACAAAATGGCCTTCTTCTTCTTTCGTTCGCCACATATTTCCATGGCGTGTGTGAGTGGCATCCTGATTGCTGTGGTGCGCCTCCTGGCTGGTTCAGCACCTCGTTTTGCAAGGGTAGACTGTGGTCATACTCGAGGAGAGTATGACCCTTTGTCTTTCGCCTTTACCTCGTTTGTTGTCCCATCCAGTTTCCCGCTGTGTGTTGAGACCCCAACCTTCAACTGGATTGCTAGGAAGAACAGGGTCCACCTCGTGAAGGTGAGGTAGGCTTGAGCAAGAGAGGCTAATAGACATTAGGAGTCTTGTATTGCGCATCATTGCTCCATTTGGACCCCTAAAAAAAAATGATCTTGTGGGTGTCATGGACATAAAGCCGATTCTGGAATTCTACCACAGTCGAGAGAGTAAAGCATGGACTGAAGGACCATTTTCTGGATTTTCCAAGTCCGCTGGTTACAGACAGCGATGTCATCATTCAAGGCCGTCGTCCCATTTTTTTTTCTTTTCTGAATCAGAGGAATCGAATACTGCCGGAAAGCTGAAACAGTGAAAGGAGGAGGGAAAAAGGTATACCAGATTGGATGCGGGGAAGATGGCCTGCGAGTATGCTTACACCTTGGGAAACTACCATAAGGGAGGCCACTCACAGTGAAGTGGTTTCAAAGCTTTCTTACTCGAGACCCAGAATGCTACATCAGAAAGACCATAAAAACCAAATCGAGGATATAGCGCATTTCTCACGGATTCTGAGTTTAGGATTTGTAATGGTTGATGGTCAGTCCAAATAGTAAATCTACATTCGTGAAGGAAATTCGCAAACTTGATGACGGCGTAGTAAATTGTCAAGGCCTCACATTGTACGACGCTGTATCTGCTTACTGCCTGGGTCAATTTATGGCTAGCATACAAACTTTTTAAGTCTTGTAATGTTTTTCCACATTGCTCTGCCTATTTGATCTTTTTTAGCATACCTTTCTTAGTTAACAAAATAGTGTAGCTGTGATGGCTAAGTAGTGTGGGGTAAATTTAGAGTAAAAATGTCCCAACCCCAATAATGCTCTCACTTATTTTTGTTTTTTGTTTTTTTTTGTTTTGTTATAAGAACAAGAAACTTTAGGAATTTCTCCACTGTTGCTGGTTCGGGTTTCCTCTACCCCTTTTCCTATAATGTGCTCCGGGAAGGTTATCGCTTCCATAGCTACTTCAACTTTTGCAGGTCTGACTGTGAGTTCGAACTCTCTGTTGCGCTCTGACATCGTTCTCAACCCAGGTATATGGTCTGGTAAATTGTATGGAACAATAGCATGTCATCCAAGCATTGAATGACATCAGCGCGTGCCTAAACCAGCTTCCTAATGAGCGTGGTGAGAGACCAAATGTTGAGTATCGAAACTGCATTCAACCAATATTCGATCTGAACAAGGTATACTTCTTCGATTCCTCGGCTAAAGGAATCTACCAATATCCTTAAGTTAAGTCAAGCTTTGTAAAAAAAAAAAAAAAACTTAGCTTTAGGAATAAACAAATCCTACATATTCGGTACTATTTCCACGACGATAACAGTTATCTCATTCAGTTTAGGGAAATCAATAAAAAGTCGTATCGATCCATCTTTCTTCCGAAATACAACCATCGAATGAAGCGTTTTTCCAATGAGAGGTGGCTAGTTTGATCACTACTGCAAGATTTTGTGACAGTAACTGATATGTCGATTTCGTCTTTGCAGACATAAATATTAAAATCAACTAAGATTGGCATAAGAGACCATAAGAGGACCAGGGGCACGATCTTCTTATACTGCTTTCCCTAGTATATGCACTTTCGAATTTTTGCGAAAGATTCACAGATGAATGCTTCTCAAAATTTAAAAAAAACGCCCTGGTGAACTAATCGAGGGAGTCTGGAAAGCATATGACACGGGTTGCATCTGGTACGGAAGCATTTTGAATAACTTTAATTAGGTGATGTTTAGAGGTGGTGGGCTTCTAACGGTTACTGGAAATCTTCACTGACCTACAAGCAAGAACATGATCTTAATGATATACACGTCAGAAGCAGAGTTAGTCACGTTTTCGTTAGATTTAAAAGTAATCTTTCTTGATGAGTCGATGGCCAACAGCATTAGCAAAACCTACAACTATGGTCTACTTGAAGGTTTTACATCACATGAAGTGGATACCGTTATTTTTCAAATTATTAAAATTGCAGTTTAAAAACACACGTGCTTAGATGTAAGTGGTAAAACAAAATACAGTAGGACACAAAGCGTTAAAGTAGGGTAATACAATAGTTGTCCGGGACAGATGGAGTTAACAGTGGTTTATAGGGTATAGAGGACCCAGCAAACCTATGCATGTGAGATAATCGATTTGTTTCTTTTTTAATTCTAGAAAAGCGATAAAAATATTAAAGGTAAACTATTTTTCTTCACAGTCTGTTAAGCCTAGTCATGTGATATCGACTTGGATTTGAGTCCTCCTGAAGTGCCGGGTGTAATTTCCAGAAGCTTCACTTACATTTTGTAATTGATTGATCCGATTGCTGATAAGGCGAACATAATCTGGGAAATTTGTAGGAGTGCAATGTGTGTATATTCTATTACTAAGACTAATATCATGGTTAGGCTCGCTCCTTATTTAAACGAATACATACATATATGTTAAAGGTTAAAGTCGAGACGATCGACTTCACACCCGGGCTTTATCCCCTATGTCTCGTTCTCTCTCCACAGAACCTATAGCCGCCTGCCGAGAGCGCCGCACAGAGCATGAACTTAGCTCCGGCGACGATCCTTGGGGATTTCTGTAAAAATTGTACTCGTGAACTGAACGGCACATCCGTGAAACGAACCCACGACCTTCAGAGCGCGAGGAAAAGGGCTAGACCACTTTCCCACGAAGAAATGTTTTATGGCATTGACTAAAGGAAAAAGTGCCCACGCCTCACTGATTGTACAGATATGATATATTTTAGACCATCTAACTTGGAATTTAATTGGCAACTTAGGGACAGATTATTGATATCCAAATCTGCTTTCCGACCTAATGAACCTACACTACGCTGATTATTGACTTCACCTATTCACGGTCAATTAGGTACAACTAGGCACTATTGGCAGCTTCGCGTAGCTATTTGGTGTAATTTCAGTCTGCCTGTTTTGCCAGTGCGCGTCTGGGGGTGTGCAAATGCAACAACAGACCACGTTAAACTTTAGAAAGGAATTATCTGTAGAGAAACAATTTCTAACAAATAAACTAAGTTCAAATATAAATGTTATGCCTAATGTAATTACCTATAAAAACCGACAGCCAATAAAACACAATTTGGAGTTTTACAGGCTATACTGTCATGGATTTGTCATGGATCTGGTTATGAGTTTTAATAAACTGAAGTGAATTTTGTAGTTACGGCGACACGGTCGATTTACTGTTGCTGGAGACCGTCACAATGGGTCAAACGAGAGTTTCCATTTAGTTTTATTTGGACGACAGACAAACATTGTGTTTCATTCTCGCTAAACTGTACGTGAAATACGACTTTTAACCGCTCATATGAGGTCTAGTGTTTGCTTATACTTGATAGCATACTAAAATATTTATATAGTTTATGGCATGTGAGACATATGACGCAGTCGTCAGCAATATATTTTTAGTTTCATTGCATTGTTTATTTAACCTACATACATAGAAACAAAAATGCGTATTGTATAGAAAGTTTTACGGCAATAGCACTGTGATTACAAATATGTGAATGCCTCAGATTTGACTATGTCTGCTTACCATACATACAGAGCATCATTTCTGACGATCTTATGTTCTGTTACTGTGATGCATAGAACCACACGTACAGCCGAGGCTACACCTCTAGGTAAGTTCTGCTGGTTAAGAACACAACTCTGGTAGTCACTTAATTTAAAAAAAGTACAAAGTCAAATTATATGTCAGTCTTAGCGCCATGCGTGTTTCTGAATGCTGTTGTTAGATGTGGACAAACTGAATAAGGGACAATTAACATATTGTCACAGAAAGTCTTTCAGTCGTCAAAAAGAATGTCAATGCAGTATCATATGGAATAGAAAAACGGCAAATGAAATTCATTTTTTGTAAGCAGATGTTAAAAATATTTATCATTTTTGATAAGAATATAAATACTGGAGTACGCACGACAGGACAATCGGTAAAGAAGAGAGGTTGGTGAAACAGAGAGAGAGAGAGAGAGAGAGAGAGAGAGAGAGAGAGAGAGAGAGAGAGAGAGAGAGAGAGAGAGAGAGAGACAGAGAGAGAGAGAGAGAGAGAGAGAGACAGAGAGAGACAGAGAGAGAGAGAGAGAGAGAGAGAGAGAGACAGAGAGACAGAGAGAGAGAGAGGGGGTGGGGCGATAGCACGGATAAAAAATCCTCTACATGAAAAGTACCAGGCCCAAAGATAGCAAGGTGAGGTCAGACTAAACAACAAAAAACTGGAATGCTTGCAGAATGAAGCCA